GCCTCGATTGCTGGTGATTGTCCTTTGCCTTAGCCCGAGACATCAAACAAATCATATACCGGCACATTAGTCGGCCACATTACCCTCCGCTCCGCTAGGAATACCCCTTTGGTCGTTGTGGGCTGTCCGGACTCAGTCCCCTTGGGCTCGCTTTCGGACTTGCCATTGTGCGCCGTCCGATTGATTGGCGTGCGCACCCCTGAGCTCAGTGTACACTTGAACGGTACATGTGAGGTGAGGGTGGAGACGAGATGATTTAGAACCTATTAGTCTGGACAAAGAGACCCACAGTTGCTTACAGAGCGACTGACAGAAACGACTATAGACAGACGATGTGAGAGTATCATTATATCATGCGCATAGATTATTGTCATTAGTCTATTAATAACCTAAAATAAAAAATGCAATTTATTGTAAATATGGGAGTCTTCTTTTCTTCGTGTTTATTATTTCTTCATTACTCTATTATATGTAGCTAGTCTGCAATCAGGGTTTTTCATTTGTGTATTTATTAGAGTAATTCTTTATATTTTTGTTTCAAAAATCATTAAAGGGTGGAGACGTCATACCTACTTCCGTTAGAAGAGATAGGAGTGCTACTAAGCGCGTCTTCACCCGTCACACACACAGCGCACACACACACACACACACAACAATTACAAAACACACACACACAACACACACACACACATACACACACACGACACACACACACACACACACAAACCGGATAGTAATTGAGTAGGAACACCCTCGATTTAGTCAAATGTTTCAGTGCACCACCCCTGGAGCAGAGGGAATACCCCTGTTTTACCTCCTTAGTAAATTTAAAATCCCAAGTCTGAACCAATCCCAGTCCCAATCAGTACACAATCAATACCAATGCTCCAATTCCTATTCTGAGGTCCTTTACGTACATTCGTTACGATTGACAGGACTTCACTACATAGTGTCACCATAGCACACACACAGCACGACACACACACACCACACACACACACACAACACACACACACCACACACACGACACACACACAACACACACACGTGACATTGAAAATAAGTATCATGGAGTGGCAATAAGGTTACGAAGGATAATAGAACCATAAAAATTACAAAGGATTACACAAAATCCGAAAATTACAGAAAGTAAAAACATTTTTCGCGAAACTTAAGTCCGGAGCACAACCTTTCACGATATCCGTGTCCGTTCAAATAAAGTATGATCGTTGACCGTCGGTTCCGTGTAAGTTCGCTGAAATGTTTTACTTTCTTGTAATTCTTTTACCGGTAAAATGTGTTTCGGCGTACATTTTCCGTTCTAGTGTAGTGTTGATTTTAGTTTAGTCTTTTTTATGTACTTATGGTTTCAATGTCATGGTCAAATTCTATCTTCTATACGATGTGAGTATCGTATGTTGAATATAGACGGAACGAACGGTGATAATGAGAAGTCGCTGGATAATAGAATATATTAATGATGAGATCGGATGTATTATTATGTTTTCTCTATTGTGATATTAACGTATAAACAAGTAATAAGTAATTTTAT